GAGCCCCGCGCCGGCCCGCCACTCCCGCCGCTTAATTACCTTCGCCTTGGGCTCCTGGGCGGGGGGAGCCTCCCGCGCGTCGCCCCCTCTCGGAACCCTCACCGAGAGGGGAAATTCCTTCCCGCGGACGTCCTCTTTCGAAATGCAAAAGATCAGTGACTTTGACAGGTAGATGAGGGGGAGGGAGCAGGGTGGGCGGAGAGGAAGCGAGGATGAGAAAGGTGCCTCTCCCTCCAAAAATCTAGTGATATTAATAATGGAATCGCAGCCTTCGGGAGGTCTGGCCAGCCCAGTCCCCGCTTGCCGGCTTCCCTCCGCGCCTCGTCGCGCCACTGCCTCTGCCACTTCTCGCCTTAAACTTTTACGGAGGGATTTTTTTTTTCCTATTTCTATTTTTTTTCTCTATCTTTTTTTTTTTTTAATCTGTTAAACTGCAGGACGATTTCCTGATTCCCGGGGATCAGAACCAGCGGCCCGGCGGTTCTACCCCGCTTGGCACAGCTTTCATTTTATTTTAGATGAAGACGTTGAGCTTAGTCAGAAGGGACATAAATCAGGACAATTAGCATTGGCGCCAAGAAGAATCCTCTAGTACCAATTTCGCCCGGGCTTCCTTCGCGCATTCCTCCACTCAAGTCAGAAATGTCACTGCACATCGCGGAGATGGCTGCGAGACGCGACGCACCCAAAGTCCGTTTGATGAAATATACATGGCCCACGATGCTTCCGGATTGCGGTGCCTCGGCTCCCGCCCCCGCCCGCGGCGCCCGGCCGGACCCTGCTCCGAGCGGACCGCGAGCTCTGGGCAAACTTAGGGGCGCGTGCAAATGAAAGAGTGAGCGCGCGGGCTGGCGAAGCGAGCGTGAAAGAAGCAAGCCCGGGGAAGCCGCAGCCCTCGGAGGGGTGGCATGTACGTTTCACTTAAAAGCAGATCTTCTTCTGCAACTGGCAGCAAGTGAGAGGATTGCAAACCTTATACTACCTCGAGACCTGAGCGCTCCGAGCGGTCCTAACTCCGTCCGGCTCGCTGTTGCTGCCGCTGCTCCAGCGGCTGCCCCCGCCGCTCCACGACCCCAGGGAGCTGAGGCTGAGAACACGCTTCACCTTCCCCGCCCCGTGGCTTCTACTTATGGCCCCGGCTCATCCCATCCCTCACTCCCCTTTCTCCTCCCCCAAACCGTGCCTAAGCACACCCCTCGCCCCTAGCAGGGGCGGCAACTGTTTTTCAGCCAACAATTCCCTTGCCCAGCCAGCGGCCCCTACAGCGCAAGCCTAGAACCTCCTTATTTAGAAATTCATTCTCCTTTAGAAAAGTTGAAGTTTAAGAGAGAGCTGTGCATGTTGGGCCTCCTTGCCTTTCACAAGAGACAGACAAATACCCCCACCCCCCCAGGACGTTATTCACCATCAGTGGGGGCTCAGACTTAACCTGGGATCACTCTTAGCTACACACTAACTGGAAAAAAAAATATCAAGACTTAGATAGGAAGAGACTTTAATTAGAAAGAAAGGCTATTTCAATGTGGAGAACGCTTGGATCTCAGACCTCTGTAAGCATCTCAAAACCAAATCGAAATCGGCTTTCATGAGGTCAGGGGAGTGAGCAGTAAGGGAAAGGGGGGCAGATGAGAGGAAGAAGACCAAGGCAGGTGGTTTGACAAGACACGTGTCTCTGTGGTCCCAGGATTTGGGGAATAAGGTGACAAGGAAGCGTGTTCTGCGTTTTAGTGCTTGCTTAGATGTGGGGCAAGCTCACAGTTCAGGGTCCAGTGGGGATGAGAGAACCCTGGTGCGAGTGTCTACAAGGCAAAGCGGAGGGTAAGAAATGGGCGATTGTGAACACTTGGTCACTCATACTGCCCCACAAATAAAGGAACACGAGCTAAGAGCAGAGGGGGCATTTTTCCGCCATGAGTGGCCGTGGTGCTAACTGTAGGACGTGCATAGGGGAGAAGGTCTTTGAACTGAGCCTATAACCAGACCCTCCTGGGCCCTGAGTAGCCAGGACGGAGGCAGGGATTCCAGGCACCCAGGCCCTCCAACACCTGAGAGACCACAGTGCCTCCCTCCTTCCCTTCCCCCCTCCCCTGCAGGAATCTGGGGTTTCCCTACTTCCCTCCTCCCCACCTCTATGCTTAAGCACTGCCACTACATAAGGAGTTACTTGCAGGGGTGAAACTCCTAGAAGGGGTTCTTTGACAGTGGCCATTCCTGGCTCTTCACCCAGTCTCCACCCCTGCTCCTCCAGGGCTGAACTCTACTGATTGTATGGAGATACTGTTCACCACCTAACAGCCCCACCCCCACCTTGCAACTCTAGAGCCTCATCCCTTCTGGAGAGCCAGCAGGACTGGAGAGTCAACACCCACAGTGGCCATCTCACTTCTCATTGGCTCCTGGCATGAACACTGAAACACAGACAGCTGTCAGCCTGACCTCTCCCTCCGGCACTTTTCTGTCAAGCCAAGAAACCCCCTTCTGAGCTTTCATTCTCAGCTTTATCTGATCTTTTTAGTCCTTCTCGAGTAAAAAGTAAAGAAATTCATGCAGAGATTAGAAAACTCCCTTCTGGGACATAACCAAGATCTTTGTGATATTGGCGCCTAACCTGGAGAAATGTTCCCTCTCATCTGCTAAAATCTTGGAACTAACCCCTGTTCCCCTTGTCCTACTCGATAGATACCCTTCCTATTCCAGGGTTCCTTTGATTGGGAGGCAGACATCAGTCTCAAAGGAGCCTGATGTGTGAATGAGGACCTTCTCCAATCAATTAGCTTCTCCCAGCCCAGGAGTGGGAGAGTCAGGAGTGAATTTTTCTCTCAAACATCTGCTCTGATCTTTTCACAGAATCAGTAAATCACCAACTAAACATGTGGAGCTCAACTCTGTGCAGGAAATCAGAATCCCCAGATGAGCTTTTCCAGCATTAAATTCTCCTCCCCTCCAGATCCTGAGCCCCTACCAGTGGGGGTGAGGTGGGAAGGGCTTTTTCTCCAGAAAGCACTTTGGAATCTGATAGTCTCCCTTAAACTGAGAACCTGTGAACTAACGTTTATATATTAAACCAGCTTTCCAGGATAGACCTTCGCAAATTTGTTTATATAATACACACCAAGCAGAATTTACTTTAGGTATTTTCTGGGCATCAGGGAAAATAATTTAAGCATACTTTTCCCATCACCCTTTGCTTTCTTCACCTCTATATATTTGACTTTCTTTGGAAAGAACGGCTTTTCTGTTTTTATTGAACCTTTCCATACTTTTTTCTCTCTTTCCTTTTAGAGAATTGTTTGATCTTTTAGTTCCCTGGCTTCCGATCTCTGGCTGCTTTCACACGCACTGCTCAGTCTTCTTCAACTTAGATTTTCATTTATTTTGTAATCCTGTTAGGTCTCTAGCTGTTGTTCGCTTTTCTAGGTTATTAGCTGCTTAAAAACCTTCTTTTTAAAGATTTGGCAGGGTTGTTTAAGTATTTGTAATGTCACACTGGTAGTGGTAGCATTTTGGAATATATCTGGTCCAAAAAGATATATCTTATAAATACTGTAAGGTACTTGACATGAAGTAGGTGTAAGATAAACGTTCATTGCAGGTGTGAATAACTTTTGTCCATTCTCAGGATTTGGTTATAGCCTCCTTGGTAACTGGAACTAATTCCCACTATATTAAATTAAGACTCAGATGTCTGAAATACCCAAATCAGGGACAAGTTCTTTTTGGCCAGTTGTATACTATGTGATGGATGCTTTTGATAACAGTTGCTTGTTTCTCAGGGGAAACATCCTTCCTAGCCGTTGTAAAACCTTTAGCTCTTTCTTGCCTCTACTCTGTGCTCAGGGAAATGTTTTATCACAGAGCCATTAGGAGTATAATTTTGACAGGTTTTGAAGTCCTTACCTAACAAGATTTTTTAATGCTTAAATATTTTGACATTTAAACCTCTCACAAGCCCTAAGCATCTGGTCTGGGCTCTATCACTAGATTGTATTAGCATTCTCTTGCTCTTGTAGATGTACTAGGTATACTTATCGTGAAACTTTAAATTTACAAGCCCAAACTATCTAAGTATCACACATAGGTATATCAACAATCTCATTTAGTTCTTCTGAGAACAGAGAGCAGACCAAAGGACATGTTGTTTACCAGAAGAAAATACCCATATTTACTGTGTTACCGATTCTAGAACATGAAGAATAGCAGATGGTATAAGCCATTGGTAGTTAATGACTGATGGAGGGAACATGACCTTTACCACCCATGTGTTTTCTAATATATGGTACAGTGTAAGATAGTTTGAAAATAATAAAATTAGCAGCTTGGTTAAAATAATATGAAAAAAATAACAACATCTGGGTTTGGGTATTTTTGTAGGAGAAAGCATGCTAACCTAAAAGATAACCTTTTTTAGTCACATAGTTCCTGTCTCTTTATTATTCCAATTTTACAACCCTGGAAGTGTTTAAGGGAGAATAGTTTTCTTATTTTTGTTTATCCTATCTCACCCATAAGAAATCACTTCTTAATTTTTATGCTTTCAGAGCATTTGACACTAGACATTTTTATCCAACCGGTGAAATCTGTCAAAATTATGACACCCTGAACTTTTTTCTTTACCTATTTTTTTTTTAGACTCAGAACACATAGTCAATATCTGTTTAATAATTTATCTTTTTGCTGAGGCTACAAAAAGAGGCATCCCAGCTGCATGTTGGGCTAATGCTATGGTGTGAACAAACTCAGTATGCTTATGAACTTATATTTTGTTGTGTTTAGTTTGTCTAAGATCATTAACTTATTTCTTGGGGGGAAAAAAATTCACAATCTAGTATGTTGGCTGGAAAATTTCAGTCTCAAAAATCAGCAGCTATGTAGATTTCCTCCAATGTAATTTTCATATTTTCAATTCTTCTCCAACAACAAAATCAGTAGCCTTTTCAGAGAAGGAAAATATATGGAGGAAGATTAACACTCTTTGCCTAATTTAGATGTCTTTTTATTAATTCCATCCCAATGGTTCTTTTCTTCAATTCAATAAATATTGAGGGAACCAACACTGCCTGTGAGTGATTGCACTAGAAGCTGGAGGCACTGCAAAGCTCTCAAGTTGGAGTATCCACTATCATGCTGGGAAAGGCACATTGTGTCATGGTCAAGTCTGGAGATTCCTCTCGTACCCAAGATGGGGCAAAGGCGTCCACAACTCAGATGATGGTACAGGGTTTCAAAGATCTCTATCAGGCCGTTGGTCCAAACTATTGTAAAGTGCAGCCGCTGTAGGGCTTAGCAGCCTCCGAAAGAGGTTTTTTTCCAGTCCTGTAAAAGTGGGGCAGAATGCACTAAGGGTTGAGCTAAACTTCAGTGAACCACTGCAACGATAATATCCATGATGGAAGATATTCCAAGAACAGAAAAATGGCAGACACAGAAGAGAAATGTAAGATCACACGATGCCGTTGGTATGACTTCTGCTCCACCCAGATGTTTCTCCCTGCTTTTCTTGACTTCCTGCCTCTGGGTTTAGTTTGATGTTTACTATCCTGAAATGATTACCTTCATTGCTGTTTTTATCGGCACTATGGCTCCCATCCCTTAGATTCTACACTGAATCGAGGCAGTGGATATCAGCTGGCTTGGCTTCTAGTGAGTAAACGCATTTTTGCCAAGTGACCATTCCCTCCCAGTGAGGTGTCATCTCCTTTGGCAAGAAGAATTTCTCTCCTACAGAAAATGACTAATTCTCTTAAATCCTGTTCCAATCTGTAATGGAGAAGAGTGAAATCAGAAGCATTATGAATTCTCTTCCTACTTCAGTAAGCCAGGAAGAAAGTTGATTGTCAATTCTACAAACTTTGACATCCCATAGAAAAGAACACGATTGTAACATTCCTATGATATTATAGAAATATTTCTTGTTCCCTCTTCCTTCCTTTTTCCTCTTTTCCAAACATGAA